AACGAAGTCGTGAAAAACAAAGAAAAGAGCACTGAACCATTATCAGTCTTCCTATATGGCAGTGAATGATGGAAAATTACCTGACTAATGAAGAAGAGACTTGAAACAAGAAAAACGTGGTTCTACAGAAGGATGCTGAAAATATGGAGTGAGCAAGGACAAAGTTTTAGTGAAAATGGAAATAAAAAAAGAACACTTATGCTTAACACCGGGAAGAGGCAGTTGAAATTTCTAGGGCATATAATAAAGAAACAGTTTTGAAGGCAAGAGGGACAGAGGTAAACAACATCTAACTTACCTAGCGGGCTTGAGTAAATAGATGCTAGTGCATGGTTTAGGAAAAATAGCAAAAAGTCAAAATTTATTAAGAGCTACAATGGACAAGAAATTGCGGAGAGCCGTGATCGCCAACTTTCTGAAGGGACACGGCATATAGAAGAAGAAGCAGTTGCACGAGTCCCCGACGAATCCAAATCTACCTGAATTCAGCGAGAATAAGACGGGTTCATTTTTTTTTTTACTTTTTTCGTTTTTTTTTGTTTTTTGTTTTTTTTAATTGTTGGATGTGTTCTGATTCTTATCTTCATCCAGTCAATATCAATCACTAGACATAAGATTCGTTCTCCAAAGAGAATCTATATTACAAAGTAAATGATGCCTTGCCACTATTTAATGACCAGTGTCGCCTTTAAAACAGTGAACATAAAACACTAAGCATTTTAGTTTTTGCCAGAAAACGGACAGATTTTTCAGTTGAACATTGGACTAAACCCCCCTCTCTCTCTCTCTCTCTCTCTCTCTCTCTCTCTCTCTTGTTGTCTTTCTCTCTCTCTCTCTCCTCCTCCCCCCCTCTTTTTCCTTCCCTCTTTCCTTCTTTCTTTCTTTCTTTCTTTCTTATGGGGAATCAAATATCATTTCACAAAAGGAATATCTTCCTAAACTGGCAAGCAAGTATTGTCCGGACGAGTTCCACTCCCACCCATTGCAATGGAGTTGCCTCCCTTGCCCTATATTGACCCTCAGGCGAATCTTAGAAGGCTTATTTCTATGCGATGCGCATCGATTTTTGTCCTCCTTCACTGGATAAGATGCCAAGCATATTGCAAGCTGGGAGAAATAATGGACGAACATTGGATAGCAAGAAGTAGAACATCGATTTTTTTTTTTTTTTTTACGGTTACATATCATGAAATTCATTTCAGAGAAGTATATACGTTACGATATCTGCTTTCGATTTATGGAAGTAGATATAGTGGATATATTTTCATTCACTGTAATATTCATTTCAGTCTTTCATTACACACACACACATATATATATATTGATAATATTGGTGGCCAACATATATATATATATATATATATATATATATATATATATATATATATATATAAATTTCAAGAGGATAGAATCCAGGTAGAGCTCAATGTCCAGGACAGAGCAAGAATATAATATAAAAGGCTCAAACACTAATATTCCATGGTTATAATTTATTACATTGCAATTGTAATCACAATCCAATTCATCAGACCTACAATTTGTAGGTTTGATGAGTTGGATCATAATTACGATTCCAATACAATAAATTATAACTATGGAATATTAGTGTTTGAAACTTATATATATATATATATATATATATATATATATATATATATATATATATATATATAGTAGTAGTAGTAGTCTTGTAAGTATAAGAAATTATACTCGTCCGGAAAACTTTCGGTGTCTTGATTTGCAAATAATCAAACCAATACCAAAGGGGAAAAAAAGGTATAAAAAAAAGAAAGAACCAAGAACATGTACGTTAGCCGAAAATAATTGTTTAGCATGCAAGTCCAAAGACCAAAGAAAAAAAACGATACGAGTACGCAAAATAACTAAATAAAGTGCTCAATACAATAAGTAAAGCAGACCCAGCTAAACCAGACAACCTACCACGGTTAAATTTGGTACATTTATGGTGAAAGGGCTCTCAATATTGGAAACTTAGTATTTATAGATTTAGACAACGTGAACAATAGGAATCGACACTGCATGGAGACTGTCAGTTCCATGCTTCAATACAACTTTCAGACGAAGCGTGAAAATAGCAATCGTCATGCAGTGTTGATTCCACAGTTTCTGCCTGTCTTCTTCATTATGTCCCCTCTCTCTCTCTCTCTCTCTCTCTCTCTCTCTTTTTTTATATATATATATATATGTGTGTGTGTGTGTGTGCAAAAAAGGCTAAAAATAATGGAAGTCTTATTAATAAAATCAAAAATACCAACACTCTATAATATCAACTATCATTTTAACAGATATATTTACCAAAATTCAAAAACATCTTGAATTACTAAAGAGTAAATTTATTCAATAAAATTGCCACTGACTTCAACTATGGACTTCAGACGACTTCGGAATCTCCTGCAACTCTTCTGGGCGGTTTCCTTGTTTAAGTTGGTGAATACTGTCATAATCCTTGCCTTCAGGGTGTTACAAGGAGTTTTGTTGATATCTCGCTCAACTCACGGATAATCAAGGGGATTGAAGTCTCGGGAGTTAGGTGGCCAGATGTTAGGCGTGATGTGGTCGCAGAAATCTTCTGAATGGTTCTCCAGCTTGTGTGGTATAGTGAAGAGTCTTGCTGCCAGACATACTCTTCCAGCAGCCAACTTCTTGAACCAGGGAAGCACTACTTCCTCAAGGCGCTTGATGTAGTCCTCCGTGGTGAGTCTGGGGCCCTTACCACTACATTTGAGAGTGTTTCTCTTAGAACGATCGGAGTGAGTTTTCCAAGTTGCCGTACCTTCGTAATCACCATTAGACTCATCTGACTCTTTCTGAATCTTCTGCACTGTCCTCAGATTTACACCCAAACATTTTGAAATGTTCGTATTGGTTTTTTCTGCGCGAATGCCAAGCATTACAACATGCCGTTTCCAAATTTCGGTCGGAGTGAATTGTGTCATGGTGCTTTTTCTTTTTAACACAGACGGTGCCCAACTGACCCTACTATACTGTGCAGTCAACAAAATAAAAACAAACAACGCGTATGCGCGAAATCAAAAATATAAAATGACAACAATTTAACCATCGCACCCTGTTTACATATATATATATATATATATATATATATATATATATATATATATATATATATATATATTTGTATGTATATGTATATATGTATTAAAATATATATAATACCCTACATTACCCAACATAATATATATATTTAGCTTTAAGGTGTGCTAGATTTATGGGATAAAGTGCTCAATACCAGAGATAGAGCTTATGTAAATATATCAATGTTCCATTTTATATATATATATATATATATATATATATATATATATATATATATATATATATATATAAAATATATATAATAATCTACATTACCCAACATAATATATATATATGTGTGTGTGTGTGTGTGTGTGTGTGTTACCAGACCTGACAAATGTAAAGGTGTAAATTATTCCGATTATGTTGATAAATTGTTGGGTATTTTAAATGACAGTAGTAAATTTCGGAAATTAGTTGACGTCACTCGTGACGATACCTTGAAAACGGAAGTCCGATTACAGAAGAGTTTATTAGAATTTCAGAAGAGTAATGTTTTTGTCTAAGGAAATTTAGAATCATATGTGTCCCATGGGTTTGCAACATCCTCGAATGTATGGCTTACCAAAAATTCATAAAGATGGCGTTTCACAGAGGCTTATTTTATCTATGGTGGGCTCTGCCCAGCATCGTTTGGCTAAGTGGCTTTTGAAGTTCTTGATTCGGTTTTAATATTCTAATCGGATTATTGTGTGCCTGACTCGTTTCAATTCATAATAATATTCGTCCCCTTGGTTCCCAACGTCTACGGATGTATAGGTTATCGAAAATTATTAAAATGGATAAATGGGATTTATTTCTTTTTTCATTTTCTATACATATTTAGTTGTTATGCATCTGTGTGCAGTTAATTATATGAATAGTATTACACAATATAAACACATTTACCCTTCACCAGTCATACTGTTTCGTATGACAGACATAATTCTTTAGAGTCTTAATTCTTAATGAGTCTTAAAAGGCAATGCGGGTAAACACTGATCTGAGAAAAATAACATTAAGACTGTAATGAATTATGTGTGTCATACGAAACAGAATGGCTGGTGAAGGGTAAACGTGTTTACATTGTGTAATCTTACTTTATATTCTTCTGTAGCTTGCTTTTTATATACAGTATTTTTTCTGCTAAAGCTAAAGTGCTTTTGTAATGTTTTGTAATGTACTGATAGCTTACTTTAAAAACTACATGCTTAAGTACACTGAAAACGTTACGGTGAAGTAATAGATAGTGGCTCGGATTGAGGAATCGGAGAACCGATTTCGAATTTCAGTGGAATCCATTACATTCACTTACGTGCTAATACCCTTGGGAAAGGCATAAATCCTCTTCTTCTTCACCCAGCTATGGGTAAATAGCAGGACAGACCGGGTTCTATAGCCTTGGATGGCAACTGATCTACCGCAGAAAGAACTGGCAACCTACTGCGGGAAAAAATCTGTCAGTCATGTATCGAAAGATACATGATTGTCTAAGCGTGTATCACGCATGGCACATAATTGACTGTTTGTTAAATATGCCCTTACGACTTTTATACTATCAAGTACAATGTATACTGGATCCAAATACAAATAGAATAGTGCATAGGAGGCTAACCCGTGCCGTGAATTTGATGTTTCCTTTGACCACCATTCCTGCTGCTACAAGCGTTACGAAAAAAATGTCTCGCGTGAGCCTTGCCAGTCACTGGCTACCAGGCGGCAGAAATGAAATCACCTCCACATTCATCGATCACGAGGCCAAGCCATGATTTACTAAACCTGGCTTCGTTTAGGACAAAGCCATAAATGATAAATGCGAGGCACCTACTTGAACTGATCATTCACTGCATTAAAAATGGCTTGAGGTACGAGCTTGCAAACAGCTACTCCACGGTGAAGCGTCTGTTTTATACATGCATAGATGTGAATACGTGGGTGTGGGGATAATTCTTGATTCGAAAATCACAAATATAAACATTATGGATCATAGATAGATAGATAGATAGATAGATAATGAACTGGTTTAGATAGATAGATAGATAGATAGATAGATAGATAATGAACAGGCTTAGATAGATAGATAGATAGATAGATAGATAGATAGATAGATAGATAGATAGATAGATAATGTATAATATTTCAGATATAACTAAAATTATGTCTGTAAAAGGACAATATGAATGTAGACAAAGGGAAACTTACCTCGCGTTTCAACCCCCAATGGACTTTATCAAGGCAAATATAAGGATTTTATTTTGCAACAACTTTTTTTTTAAGCATTTCATCCCAAGCAAGGCTGGAACCCACTAACACGCAAGGGGTTACATAGGATTTGGAGCGAGAGCAGATAAGAGTGATAGAGGAAAGGATGAGGAGAAGGACAGTGGATAGATCAAGGCAACTGGAGATGTCAATTGACATTACATTTGAATAGTTGGAGATTATAGCTCCCAGGGAAACAGGAAAAGGGAAGGGAGTTCCACAAGCGAGAGGGGCGAGGTATGAAGCTATTGGAGTAGAAGAGTCGGCTACATTTAACAGTTTCAACAGTGAAAGGGTGAGAGTGGGATGCCAGACGGGCATTCCCCCAATCACCAACCAACAACGGGCTTGGGGTACTTGCTTTCAATAGAATTAAAAACATCGGGAAGAAAGATACGGCTATACAATTCCACGCTGGGCTATTTTATCTAGCAAGATATTCGGCCCACTGGAACATAAGAATACTGACGACACACGTTCGCCTGTTGTCCAAGACTTTGTTTGGGGGTTTGGGGGGGGTTGTTTGTTTGTTTTTGGTTTTTTTGGAAGTGGGATTTCCAACTAAACGAATTTACAGGGTTACAAATTATGTTAGAATAATTAGAACACAAATAAATACGTTAGATTTGTCAAACAGACAGAGAAAAAAAAACACAGACTACATAGATTTCCGTAGAGCGAATTCTACTCACTTATGGCAGCAAGTGTTCATATTCGTCCGCTTTCATCCTCATGGTCAGTTAGTGAAAGTTCAGGCTGGCTTTATCACCAAGCTGTTTGTTTCAATGAACGCAGAGCTGGGGCGGGGGTGGGCAACGGGCATTACCCCCACAGCACCCCCACCCCTACCACCAACAATGGGCTTGAGGTATTGCTTTCAATAGAATTAAAAACAACGGGAAGAAAGATACGGCTAAACAATTCCACGCTGGGCTATTTTATCTAGCAAGATATTCGGTCCACTAGAACATAAGAATACTGACGACATACGTTCGCCTGCAGTCCAAGACATACGTATAAAATTGAAAAAAAATTTGTTTAAATTACTTGTTGCAAAATAATCCACATTATAACCAAAACCGTTTGCAGTTTCTCTCTTCTTTATATATATACATGCATATATATATATATATATATATATATATATATATATATATATATATATATATATGAAGAAAAATATATACGGAAATAAACCATCTTCAGGACATATTCATAAATATAACATTATCAATATATTTATGAATATGTCCTGAAGATGGTTTATTAGACCGAAACGTCAGACGTTGACATATTAACATTAAAACAGCATAATTGTATATAAGGATTTTTTGTTTTGTTTTTTCCGTATATATTTTTTCTTCATACTGTCGGATCTATATCCATATATTTGCTTACATATATATATATATATATATATATATATGTGTGTGTGTGTGTGTGTGTGTGTGTGTGTGTGTGTGTGTGTGTGTGTGTGTGTGTGTGTGAAGCCGAGCCGTGAGATCAGGACCAATAATATAACTGATTCTTCTTTGAATCTTATTGAGGAGTTCCAGGAAAATATCAGGAGCACCGGACCATATATAGCGGCAATGATCTAAGCATGGATGAACGGTAGATATGCAAGATAAATAACGGAGATAGATAAACATTGTCTCGCTCGACACAGTGAACCGACCTTCTTAGCAGCTGATAGAATCAATGTCGTCTTTCCACCTCATGTTAGCTGAGAATGTTAGCCCGAGAAGGCTCAATGAGTTACTTTCTTGAAGGATAGCACCATCCATGCTGATGGAAGGCAGAGAGGCGTCTCTCAGATGATTAATGGAGAGGAGTTTAGTTTTGGAGGCGTTAAAATTGACAAGCCATCTTTTACACCAGTTAAGGACGGTCTTGGGGTAGTTTGACTGATCAGCCTAACATCGAGACAGGGGTAAATGGTAACGTCGTCAGCGAATGATGCTAAGTTGAGAGCTGATATCATCGAGAAGGTCGTTAATGAAGATTAAAAAATAGCGTAGGACCAAGGATGGAGCCCTGGGAGACACCAGCGTTAGTACGAAAGAATAGAGACGATATTCACCTTTTTATTTATCTAAGGCACCATATACTCTTTCCGCAATTATCGTTAGTACACCAGCAGTTGATCTCAAGAAACGAAAGCCGTATTTCTGAGAAAAGATTTGATTATATGTTAAAACTTAAAAGGTAAACGCCAGTTTCACAAATCTCACTAACCATTTTTGCTGCTTTCTTGTGAGATTAGGATATGTGTGCACTGTGTGGGATATAACTATTTTACTGATAATGTCGCTTTCTTTGATAACATTTTTTTTGCAAATAAATATGTTGTCTTTATTTTTTGTGAATTCAGTGTGTTGTATTGAACAAGATGGTTATCCGGCTCGCACGCATCATTCTATCAGTTATCTGACCCTCTACGAAAAAGGTTTGGTGACCCTCTAACTTATAAGATGGTAATTATTAGGACTTTACAATCTATATATAAAATTCTGAGACTTCCGTTAGTTCTTCCATCAGTCACACCCTCTAAAATAACCAGACATTAACCGATCGAAACCAAATTTTGGGGGAGAAGTGCAACTACGTAAGAGGGTACAAACTACCCTTAGTTTTACTAGGGTGCAGAGCTTTGTACAAAAATTTTTAATTTAGGTTTTTTGAAAAACTTAGAAGTTTTATTATTTAATATACAAAATACTCCCACTATCTTAAAAACAATTTAATGATTAAAATTACAAATACTTGATTAATAATGATTAAAATTACAAAATATTGCTTTTAACATATCTGTTGCAACTTAGGGAAGGTTACTGAATATAATAATCAAACGAAGGTTGGTAATGAACGATAATACTTAGGACAAGAACAACGTATATAAGATTCGCCAGCGGCGCGTAGAAGTAGTAGTCAACTGCTAGAAGTGAGTCAATTCCACAATGAATCTCCAAATGCAGAATATCTACCAACCGCCCCACGCGGCCAGATGTGGCAAAAGGCCGAATTTAATGTGAGGTATCCGAGTCCGTAGGCTCGGCCAAAAATTCCCCGTAGACCCCGTATAACACTGAGTCGGGTGGCTGTTTCCCGATACGAGACTCTGCCCTTCGACATAGCCTCGTCTGGGGATTCTTTCTGCTCGGAGGCAGAGAGTTTGACCAGCACAGCTGGAGATGAATCTCCAACTGCAGACCAACATACAGTATTTACTACTGTATTTATGTGAATGGGGACATACCCATTATCGTCCGTAGGTATGCTACACCAATATCTTTTCTTCAAGTTTTTATACATATTTCATTCTAATTATTGGTAGCATAACTTTTAAAGTTTAACACCAAATATCTCTCTCTCTCTCTCTCTCTCTCTCTCTCTCTCTCTCTCTCTGTAAATATATATATATATATATATATATATATAATTCTGTGACTTCTGTTAGTCCGTCACGACGTCTAAAATAACCATACAATGACCGATCGAAACCGAATATTGGGGAGAGGTGCAAAGAGAAAAACGGGGTACAAAGTACAGTTGGTTTTACTAGGGTGCATAGCTAAGTACAATAAATTTTCATTCATTTTGGGGTCAAAATTAAAAATGTTATTATTTAACATACAAAATACTCTCAGTATTTTAAAATCAATTTAATGTTTAAAATAAATAATTATTTAATAAAGATGCAATATTGTTTTTGCATAACTTTATCTTAAGTTTTTATATATACAAGAATCCAGTTTCCAGTTCTCCCTGCGTTTGGGAGAACTATAAACAAATCACAAAGCCAAACGTTTGAAAAAGTTGGAATTTGCCTGCAGAAACAAATATTTACGCATGGCCAGTTGTATGTTGCATGCTCAAGAGTAAGAAATTCTAAGAATTTATTCTTCGCTGTTAAAAAGGAAAAAAAAGAAATTTAAAAAAAAATTATGTTTATCACGAAGTCCTATAAAATTAAATTAATTTAAAGAAATTATTAAACCTCGAAGCAAAGTTTTTGTCAAAGTATTTTTCAAAACAAATCAGCTTATTCAAGCTTCATCGATTGGTTTGCGAAATTGAACGAAACGTAGAATTTGTAAATTTCGTCAAAAAAAATTATAGTAAAAAAATCGCCTAAAACGTTACATGGTAGTTAGTATATATATGTAATTACTTTATATACACATACATATGTAATGTTTTAATCAGTAAGATAATTCATATATATTTTTAATTATATCTCATTTATTTTGCATATACTAATTTATTGTGTATGTAATGTTCATCAAATAAACGTTTTTTTTTGTGATGTACAAGTACGATTTAATGTAAAATTACTGTAACCGTAAATTGTTAGGGCAATAATTTCATAATTCATATGTTAATGTGTTAGAAATAGTCTTATTCGATTAACGAGCCGACAACTATCATATAAATATAAACACTATCATCAATATGAACACTATCAATCTAAATCAGAACACGGTTTCTCATAACTTTTGTACCAAGATTATTTCTCTCTCTCTCTCTCTCTCTCTCTCTCTCTCTCTCTCTCTCTCTCTCTCTCTCTTTCTCACACACACACAAAATGTAACATTTACAGGAAAGTGTGTTCTGATTTCGATTGATACTTTTCCTGTGTGTCTTTGGGAAAGACAAGAATACATTTTGCATAGTTTCCAGTTACAAAATGTCTCGTCGTCGCTAACATATCACCGTGGTTCATAAAGTCGATAAGTGACTCCCAGCCTCTAAACACCCGCCTAGGTAATATTGTCATAAAGCTGTTACCACTGTAATGAATCTTGACAGATGCGATTTCAATCAATGAATGAATATGAGACAAATTTTACTGCAGATAGATAGATAGATAGATAGATATTCAAAGATTGTGATAGATAGATAGATAGATAGATAGATAGATAGATAGATAGATAGATAGATAGATAGATAGGAATCAACACTGCATGATAACTCAGCTTCCTACCTCGGAGGAATCATCAGATTAAATGTCATTTTGATTCCCATCTCCACACTGTCTATAACTCCAATGCTAAGTAATCTTCTTGATTTGTGATCTTTGCAAAATAATATATATAGACACATATATATACACATGTATATACAAATATATATATATATATATATATAACATTTCTAAACATTTACAACAGCATACCTGTGTTCCTTCGGAATTCAGAAAATTCTTGCTGAAATTACATCTATACTTTTTCATGGAAACATGAAGTAAAAATTCTTGTAGCTATCTTTATTAAAAAATTGAAATCAAGCCATAATAAAATGAATACTGCATATTTTTTTTTAAATGTGTACAGTAGATAGTTTAAAATATTGCGGTTTCTCGCAATAGTTCTTATAACTTATTTAAAAAAAAACAAAAAAAAACCTCTCGATTCCTCATAACACCTACTCCCCTGAAGCGTTACTTAGGTAATGGTACTAAACTCAGCGTTATTCATTTCACCAGTGAAAATTTTGACTTTCAAACAAACACAGCAATTTTGTCTTTGAAAATGACGAACACTGCTATATTTGTTTTGAAAAAAAAAACACCCTGATGATGATATCATGCTAATGTCGAAAGTACTCGGAAAATATAACATGTATCAACACGGTAATTTTCTCTCTTCCTTTAATAATGACGCCAAAAAGCTTGTCCGTGAATATGAAAGGATCCAATTGAAAATAACTAGATAAAACTTGCCTAAATTGTTCAATGAAACATGTTCAATATATATATATATATATATATATATATGTGTGTGTGTGTGTGTGTGTGTGTGTGTGTGTGTGTGTGTATATATATATATGTATTATCAGATTTTTAAAGGCTTCTGGGTGTGACCGAGAACTTTTCATGCATATATATGTGCGTACTATACACTTTGACCTTCTCGCTAGAACAGTTGTAACTGAATAGTGAGTTCGATATTCACTGGGTTCCCCATCCTTTCGCTGGGAACATCACGGAGACTTTGACGTGGCATAATGGTTAGCAAGCTTGTCTCACTAAATCAATTAAGACTGAATAGTGAGTTCGATCCTCACATATTTTACGCCTTGGGTCACCATTTCCTACGCTACGCTTAGAAAATCACTATGTGTATGTGTATGTATGTATGTATGTATGTATGTGTGTGTGTGTGTACGCGCAATCACGCAAGTTTTCAAACAGTTTTTCACTTAATTTGCATAATTTCTTGACAAATCTCAAATTGCGTAATAACCGAATATTCATTTTGCTGTCTTTGGAAATTTTGCCGAAAACATTTTCATTGTTCCTGTTTTCCGAAAAAACTGGCTGAGAAATAATTTCTGCTGTCCTCCTTAAGTAGGAAAATGAGTGCTACCTAATACATGCATGATTAAATCAAAGCATCCCGAACAACGTCGCCTGTTTGATTAGAAAGATAATATCCCGACGTAATAACGCTATTAAAGTAAATTATCTGAAACATTCGAATTAAAAACGCCATAATTGCGAAAGAATATTGTTTGTTTTTAAATAAAGCTTGTAAAGTGTTTAAGTAAACGTATATTTGCTTCTTTTCCAGCGATTCGTATTTCTCTAGAAGTTTACTCAATTAATCCCATCGTACTTATCAGCTACGTATTTTACTCTCTTTGGAAGTCTAATCTGGATGATGGTCGCCAATTTTACTAAACTGGAATCAGTTTGAATCCATCTAGCTTCAGATGTTTTGCAATTTATTAATAAGAACAAATTATGGAAAATAGATGACACGCTTTTCACTTTCTCTCGTGGCTTCCCGAGCACGCAGCAAGTTTGACATGATTAATTTGCTGATTAACTTTCATTTCAGCAGCAAGGAAAATAAAATAAAATAAATGTCAGTGTGAATGTGTGCAGATTCATTAATTGGATGCCCTCTAAGGGGTAATAAGTTGTAGCGAATTTGAGCAAATGTTTATCGATAATTACGTTGCCTAATGATGAAAGGAAAGCATTTATTACGCACGGAAAATATCTATTTTTCAATGTAATCCTCTCCCTTGTCAATGCACCTAAGCCAACGTTTCTCCATAAATTATATATAATATAGTGAAAATTTAAGTATCAATTCACAGCGTTATAAACCCAACCTTATATATCTGTGTTTGTTTGCGTGTGTATATGTTTGTGTGAAAGAGAGATGTGTGTGTGTGTGTGTGTGTTGGATTATTATCTATACAGATAAGTAACAGTTAAACGAGTATTATGCATTCATTTCCACAAATTTTTAAAACTGAAAAAATCTTTTAAAAAATTAAACACACGTTTTTGAAATATATATATATATATATATATATATATATATATATACGGTGTGTCAAAAATAGTTTTACAAACTTTGGAAGGGGTTCCTCACAACAAAACAAGGACAAAAAATCCACATAAACATATGTCCGCAAATCCTTCGTTTTTGAGTTAAGTTTAAAGAAAGTTTAAGGTAGATGGCGCTGTGTTGCCATGTAAACTAGGTTACATTTGTCATTCGTGTACATTTGTAGCTAGTCTGTCTTCAATGTTTAACGTGTATAATAGTGAGTTAACCGAAAAGAGTCTAACAATGGCAGGATATTCATATCCTGAGCAGGCAGATATGATTTTTACATAAGGCCGCGAGGCTGCACGACTGTATTCAAATTGCGTTTCCGGACCGAAGGCAGCTGAGTTATTCAACTTTTACTTCTGTCTATCGTCGCGCTGCTGAAACAAGATATATATATATATATATATATATATATATATATATATATATATATATATATATATATATATATATATATATATAAGACATATGTTTAGAAAGTTCACTTTCCAACCTTGAGACCAGTGTTCGAATCACACCATGGTCGATTTGTTAGGAAAGTGACTTGTTGATGTTATCGGCCTAGAGAGGTGATCCCAACGTGCGGTAGCTTTGCAAAGTGCCTGAAAAACCATACTACAGGTAAGTCAAATTGGGTAGACGGTACTGTTTGGTGTGGATGCCTGTGCTATCACGGAATCACAAGTGTTTGAGCGTACTGGTCTTATTTAGAGTGTTGATTGTTGACCATGTTCAACCGTAGTTTATGAATATAGAATACAGCGCAGTACGTAATCTGTTCAATGAAACAACGTTAAAGATTAATACTCTCGAGTCAGATATTTTACTGAATCTGACTATATCGCCAATACCACCAGCAGCTGTTCCGTAATTCTTCAGTCTTCGATATCAAAGGCTGGCAGTGCATATTCAGGAAAAACATGGCCGCCTTTATACACGTCGCATTGAATATTTTGAGCCTTCTGATTGGTTAACCCTTCTATTGGTGAACTATAAAACGAGTCAGCTCATTTTGGCTAGCTCACTAGTATACCAGGGTACCCAAAAATTCCAACACTGATCACACCAGAAATTATAACTAAGGTCCAATAGCATGGGCGGCCACGAGCGATCAGCCATTACTATTACTTTATTATTATTTTTAGTGGATACATGTATTTGAGTTTTTTTTAACAGTATTTATTTCGTCTTCCGGCAACACACGAGAAAATGGGTATATTCAAATACGAGTATCTACTAAAAATAACATTTAAAGTAATCAAGATTTTTCGGATTAAAAAGTCCATTATATATACGTATATATATATATATATGTGTGTGTGTGTGTGTGTGTGTGTGTGTGTGTGTGTGTGTGTGTGTGTGTGTATGTAAACATTCTCAGATAGAGTGTAGCTGTACAGAAGCCAAAATGGATGAAAACAGACAAAAGACATCAGAGGAGGAAACGCGTCGGCTAAGAATAGTTTTTCCTTCTATCTCAACTGATCGCAATAATTCACTACATGAGGCACCTTTGACACAAGATACGTCAAACAAAAGTGCCTGGTCTAAATCACGAATGATGAACGTTGTTATATATATATATATATATATATATATATATATATATATTCGTACACATAACATTTTTAATTTATTGTATTTCCAACTAATGAATAAACACACTTTTCATATAATTAACTGTACACAGGTGCATAATAACTCAATATGCATAGAAAAGTGAAAAAAAAATTATTAAATAGAAATAAATCCCATTTATCAATTTTAATGATGAAAAAAGTACAATGCACATTTGAGATTTTAAAACTTTTAACTTTCTTTAATACTCTAGATTATTCAAGTGGAATATTCTAGAATATGCCAATAATTTTATCAGTAGTTATTTTTTGCCTAAAAATACAAACAGAACATTCTGTAATTGATATTGGTAATTGATAGGTGTTTTTTCTAGTTCAGCTAAGTTTTGCCTGAAGAGGATTTTTGAAGAATGGTCAATTGACGTTAAGTTAATCGTTTTATTTTTCGTTTTCTTTTTGTTATCCGTGAAAATTTTTGAACTTTTGATCTTCAGTTCATTGCTTTGATTTTTCTTTTTTTGTTTTAATACCTTCTCGTGTTTTTTTTTGTGTTTTTTTGTCACCTTTTTTGTTAGTTTTGATAATTAATTTTCTTTTGTTTCTTTTTTTCTTTTTCTAATTCGGTTTTTATTTTGCTGTTGACGTTTATTTCGTTTTGTTTTAACATTTCCACCTCAAGTTCGTGTTTTCTTTTCAGTTGTTTTTATTTTTACCTGTCCGCGGCTATTAAGGATTATTCCTCGGTCCAGTGACCCTTTCTCAGCCTAGGAGAGTCTTCTATCGTGAACTAGAAGAGGAGGTCACGAAAGATCCGCTACGTGACTGGCTCATCTGGTCGACGGACGAGTTGCGCTCGTTTTGGTCTTGGGCTCCTGCGGCGAATCACCTCAACAACCCTGAGGTTTCGCTTAACTGGCGGATTTGTCAGACTTGTCGACAGTGTGACTCTTGGCTTAGAGGAAACGGTTTCGCACGCCTTCTACCGTCGTCCTCGGGGGCGCACCCTATTGGAGTACGTCAGCGAGTTGACGACTCGTCTCGCTCCCGAAAAGCTCGTGCTCATTGATCGCGCATACGCGTGTGACAATGTGCCACCCCCGTATTCTGAGTTGAAACGGATGGTGTTTCTATCACTGTTAGCCACGGCTCGAGTGATGATTTGGACGACGCGAATGGAGGAAAGCTTGCGATGTAAATGTTATTCTAATCAGGATCTAATCCGATTTTTTTGAGCATCAGCTCAGGATGAAGATTAGAACTGATAGAAAGCGTTTGGTATCGACAGATTTCAGCAAAAGGTGGGTAACTGTGAACGGGGCTAGCCTTGATTTTCTTTTTTAAGTCTCCCTAATTCACAATGGGTGGGGATTCCTATGTAGCCCTCCACTGATTAGGATAGACCCTCCTTGTGTACCTAGTTAATGTAAGTGTTGTTTCTGGCCTGTTCCCGGCTTCTTTTTTTTTTAAGATCCAAGCCGTAATTCCCAACCTCCCTAATTTTTTTGCCCCCCCCCTTTTATCTCGAATGGGTCAGTCTCTATTTAACGCAGGAAAAAACAATCGAGTTCCAAAAGTTTTTCTTGCGTTATTCTTAATGTAGGCAGCATTGCGTTGTTATGAAGGAGAGTTTTTTTTCCTTTAACCCACTATGTATGCTGCCACTAAGAAAACCTAAGGTATGTTAGTACATTCCAGATTTATTCTTAACTGACTCATATGATTAGTAGGTAGGATGATTGATTTGTCATTGCAATTGAATCTTCAAAATAGAAATTACTTATGACTAATAATAAAACGAAATTGAGAAAATTTGGACGTCGAGTAAAAATATTATTTTTCTCTTTAAGAATTTCGAATAAAGAAATTGTAAATTGAAAAAAAAAATATTGCAATTTTGAATTTGGAATATGCTTTGTGTTGTCATGTATATCGGCTGGGAATGAACAAAAAATCAGAGAGCCGAGTTCGAATTTCAGTCGGGTCCGTTATATTCACTTATGTGCAAATACTCTTGGGAAAAGTATATATCCATCTCTCTACAGTTATGTGTTGAATAACAGGACAGACTGGGTTCAGTAGCTTTGGTTAGGAACCATTATACCGCAGAAAGAAACGGCAACTTACTATTGGAAAATCATCGTCATGAATCGAAAGAGACATGATCGGCCAAGCGTGTATCCCGTATGGCACTTAACTGACTGACCGAATATTACAAAACATTTTTTCTCGCTTATAACATAAAGATGCATAATGCCATTTCAGTCTCCAACAGAAACGAAAAGCACAAAAAATCTTCGAAATTTATGCAAGGATTTTTTGAATGCTAGTTTTTTGGACGCTTTATCTTTATTGCTACATTAATATATACAAAATGATTTCTATATATTTATATTATGAAAATTTCTATAACAAATTGTTATATGCCATCTACTTACAAAATAAAAAAATAACCTAAAAATGTCTGTGACCTGACACTTACATTTTAAATCATTTATAAATATCTATTGTGCAAAATAAATGGTCTGTTTATCATTGGCTTATTAACTTACCAGCGTATGTATGTATATAGATAGATAAATAGATAGATAGATAGATAGATACAGAGTTGGGGAAAAACAAATATTCGTACACATAAAATGTTTAATTTACTGTATTTCCAACTAATTAATAAACATACTTTTCATATAATTAACTCTACACAGATTCACAATAACTAAATATGCATAGAAAGCAGAAAAAAATTTGATTTAATAGAAATAAACCCCATTTATCCGTTTTAATGTGTGAAAAAGTATTCGTACAATACAAAAAAAAATACATAACCTTCATTTAATACTTTGTAGAATAGCCATTATTCACTTCTACAGCAACCAATCTCTTGTATTTCTCAGTTAATGATTTGCAAATTTTAATTGGTATTTTGTTCCATTCTTCTTCGCATATGGTCTTCAAACCCGGAATGTTTGTTAGAGCTCTCGATTGGATTTGAATTTTCAAATAACGCCACACATTCTCGATTGGGTTTAAATCTAGCGACTGATTTGGACATTTCAGGATATTTACATTATTTTCAGCAAGCCATTTCTTCGTAGATTTTGCAGCGTGCTTAGGATCATTATCTTGTTGGAAGATCCAATCAGGAGGAAGTTCAAGATTTTCAACCAAAATCATTAAATTTGCTTCCAAAATATTTTGATATACTGCGGCATTAATTCTACCATCTATTACTGATATGTTGCTATTACCTTTTACAGAAAAAAAATCCCCAAACCATGATGCTTTCACCACCAAATTTCACGGTTAGAGCTATGTTCTCTTGTTTGAAGGCATCGCCATCCTTTCTCCATACAGGATTTCTAGAATTACGTCCATACAAATCAATTTTGGTTTCGTCTGTCCATAACATATTTTTTTCCAATATGATTTTTCCTTATCCTTATGTTCACAAACGAAATTTAACCCGGCATCTCTGTGTCTTTTCAACAGCAGTGGAGTCTTCCGAGGAGAGCATGACATTAGATTGTTTCTATGAATTTCATTTCTTATTGTCCGTTTAGTGAGACAGATTCCTAATGAAAACTACTCATCTTGCAACTGTTGACGAGTAATCATTGGATTTTGTTTAATTTAGCTCATTAATTTCCTCGAAGATCTTGAAGAATTCTTCCGTGGATCACCTGTTCTTTGGTTTTCAACAGTTTTGAGTTTTTTGCACCTTGCAATGAATGAACTAATGGTATTAAATGGAATATTCAGGTTGTCTTAGATTTTCCAGTAACTTTTACCTACTTTCCAGAACTTAACAATAAGTTTTTTTGCAAATGTGTCAATTCTTTACCTCTTGCCACGATGATAACCTTCTTGCACGAATATCAATTACAGAATGTTCTTATTTACATTATTCGGACTATTGTCCTCATCTTTGTCGCCATATTTATCACAACATTTCGGCCGTTGTACGCTCCGGCCTTCTTCAGGTGGTTGGAATTTCGAACTGAACCCTTTATTTCACTCACTGGGGTAGACTGTTCTACTTCCACGTGCCATGTTTGATGGATGTCAGTTATTAGTTATCTCCTGCTAATTTCCCTCTGAAAGTTCTCCACTGCCTTAACCGGGTATTGAACTCACACTCTTTGGGTCCTGTCACTGGATCTAACCAACGCCTTTATCCACTGTGTCATGTGTCCTTGAGCGAAATAAAGGGTTCAGTTCGAAATTCCAACCACCTGAAGAAGGCCGGAGCGTACAACGGCCGAAACGTTGTGATAAATATGGCGACAAAGATGAGGACAATAGTCCGAATAATGTAAATAATGTACATAATACCTCATCTCAGAAATATAGACAGACACAGAATGTTCTGTTTGTATTTTTTAGGTTAAAAATAATTACTTGTAACATGTCTAATTGTGTATTTAGGCAGCAATCTGAAACCACCAAATCAGATTATTTCTTCCCAAAGTAAATAGCAACCATAATGAACACATAGTCAAAAATAACATAAATATTTTCTACAAAAGTCAAATGTCCGTCACCTAGCATCAAGATGAATCTTCACTTAGAAATATCATAAAGAAATACACTACCCCAATTGACCCGAACAAAAAAATCAAATTAATTATCTGCTATAAAAAATTTTTTAAGAAAGCTCACGTTATCCTTAAAAATAACAACATACAAGTAAAATGAAAATTACAACAAACGAACATTATTTATGAGTTGACCATATTCCCCTTAAGGGATGCGTTCCTGATCAAACCGATTTCATAAATAATTACATAGGTCACACTACTATATGCTTATCCACACGCCTTACGTTACACTTATCCAACTACAAATCCATTAGAATCCATTTAAACACACACACAAACTTACCAAAGTTTATCCAAAACATATGAGTAGAAAATACAAACACAATAACCTCATCTACGTGTAAAAACGATTAAAAATAATAAAAGCCTTAATAATAATAAAAAAGAAAAAAACACCACTCAATAATATTAACTACAAACACGGCCCCACAATGTGTTGTGTTCGGAAAATAAAAACATCCCTATAACACTATAAACATACACACAACCTATACACCCAGTAAAAAAGCAAAAATAAAATCATCCTTCATAATGGCTAAAAGTATAGCCGAAAGCGCTCGGAATTACAGAACATTTAGGAAGTTTCTATACACTCTGTGTCTAAAAAGGAAAACACTTGCTCGAACACAAGAAAAATTAAATAAAAAGCTTAATCGTAGTACCTTGTTTGTCGTCTTTAATGAAACCTATATGTGTGTGTGCGTGCGCGAGCGTGTGTGTAGCAGTATTTTGGTTGCTGGTAAATAACAATAAGGGCTTTTGAATATCAAAAACGATATACTCATAAATAAACTATCATGAAAAGGGTTAATGAATATCAAGAGCGATATACTGATAAATAATTCGCTCCCAGAGAATCGAAAATTCTAAAAACGAATCAAATGGCCGGCTAAGAACAATGCTTAATTTGTACGACGGACGAGGTGTTGACAATTGGTTGATAACTCCAGCCATGAGCATGTCCGTCGAATCAAGATGAGGAGAACCGGATAAAATTTTAAATGCCAGTTAGAGGTAAAAAAAAAAAAAAAAGGTTACTTAAGGAATGTTTCTAACGCGAGCCGAAGGACATGAGAGCCACGAGTCCAGTGTCTGATTTCGGATAGGAAGGAAATATAAAACTGACTTGGCGAATCTTTCTGCAGATGTGTCGATATTGCAAACAATAACTACCTGACTTAATTTTTTTTTTAAATAAAAACACACCGTGATATCTTGACATCCTCTCATCATATAAGCTGCAAGATTTTCCCTGGGAAACTGTTTCCGGGTATGGGAAAGAAGGCCAATTCTTTATTCAACTTTCAGAACAGAAAAAGTCAACACTGGTAGCAATTCACTTATGAGGTGATAGCATTTGGAACAATAATTTTTTTTAAATTAGTCTTCGCTGTGTGGTTGAGGTGACAGGCGCAGAAGAGAGACCAAGGAAGGATGAGGAGCTGCCCGCACCCACTGAAGGGAAGCAGGCACAGACGAGACACCAAGGAGGGTGAAGGAGCTGTCCACGCCCACTGAGGAGTATTAGTGGGAGATGCTAAGAGAAGGAGGAATAATCTATGGGCGGAATAATACCTCCAACCGTCAGCCGAGAAAAGGGGGAGACTTCCAAATTGGGAAATGATTAATTTCTCAGGACCAAAAACCATGAAGACAAAAATGGAAAAAAATTCCGAATTCACCAACTGCGTCACACCCCACACCAGTTTTTGGCAGATATCAATAAATGCGAATGCCTCAAGCGAATTCGAGTGATCGCCCGGAGAATCCATTCCAGCCGCCAAGCGCGAGACAACACACGTTAATATCTGCCAACATGAGACCTCCGACATCAGACTTGAGCCAAACTTACCAAGTCAGCTAAACATACTTCACTAAGTTCGTAAGCCAGCAACTAGCTTAACCAAGTGTTACCATCCGATTTAGGAAATGGGTTAGGTCGACAAACACCTGCTTATAATAATATAAACAAAAGAAATCAGACTTCCCTATCTAAATATTTTTGGCATCTGAAGGAAACAAATAGGACACCTAAAGTTAAATGGAAAATTATAAACAAGGCTAGAACATGTAAAACTTGGGATGACCCATGCCCTTTGTGCCTCCATGAAAAATAGCACATAATTAAGCTTCTAAATAATAATAATCTATTAAACAATAGACACGAGTTAACGGTTTTTTGTAGACATCATCAGATTTTTGGTTTGAATTATTAGCTATAAAAAAAAAAAAGCATAAAATATAATAACTTGTTTAATCCATAGCCCAATCATCAGATTCATGGTTTGAATAATTAACTATAAACATGCATACAATATAACACCCTTCATAATCCATAGCCCAAATAAATAGTTTAAATACCCTACAAAAAAGATAACCCTTTATGAAGTCGTCAAAAAACAAACGTTACGACAGTTTTTTATATGCACAAATCCCTTTCATAAAAAATAAAATAAAAAAATAAATAAATCTCCATAGACATGCAAACTAGACGAGGGTTAATACATCTTCCGTTTAAAATTTAGACACCCCTACCTTTCCCTGACTTGACATCTATGAAAGTAACTCTATACTGATACTTACTTATTAACACCAACACTCGCCTACCCAATTTAAACAATTCGCCCTAGCTGTTACCATGGAAATTTTGATTTCAATTTTTAAAACACGTAAATTTCAAATATACGTTATTCCAAAAAAAATTTCGCTTGAAGATGGAACAGAGCTTATTTTAACTCAATTTAATTTAAATAATTATATTGAAGTTTTCGGCTCTTGTTTTGAAACATGAGACTTCTTATGTAGCGTTTTGGAATCATATTTTTAAATAAATAATTATATATATATATATATATATATATATATATTATTTCGAGTGTTATTTTCTCCTGTTTTACTGTGCGTCTTCGCCCTACTTGGACCAGCCCAATACGAACATACCTACGACGAGTCGATCCTGGCCACGTTATGATCAATTGAATCACAGCGTGGGATAAGGCAGGTCAGGATCAAAGAGATCACTCCATCGATTAGCCGTGGTATTAGACGTCTTGGCCGACTAGGGAGGGTATAGAGCTACAATTGGTTCCCATGAGCCATAAGATAGACTCTGAAGGCGTTACACAAAAAAGCGTCCATTTTTGTAATTGAAAAACTTTTGTAAAGATATTTTTATTTTGTTTTATTCAGCAGAAAAAAAACCGTTGAAATCCAATTCTGATTTAATTTTAAAACAACAATAGCATCAAACCAAAAAGTGGAGCCCAAATTTACATTAATAGAAATGACGGCCATGTTGAAGGTAAAACAACGCGAATGCGAAATTTTTTGTACGGAATGGAGAAAAACAAGTTTTTCTTTTTTTTTATTTAACTAAATCTGTTTATTTAGCAAATGTAATGCATTTGTCTTTTAAATAAACAACACATTAAAGTTTAATTAACTTTAGTCCCGGCAAATGTTGTTTTCTCGTGCCCTTTAATCAAAAATGTCAGATTGGGATACTATGACGGTAGTCCTTAAATAGCTTTCGCTGGCTTGAGAAAATAGTTTTCTGTGTTGAATAAAGCATACCGGTTCAAATTATCTCTATTTTGACGAAAGTTATTCAGTTATAAAAATGGGCGAGCCTTTTGTTAGTCATACATTATATATTAACATGTTATATGTATATTGGCTACACTTGGCGAAGAATTATAATTTTCGTAAAAAAAGCGATATTCTGAATTTATTTGTTTTATTCAACTGAAGAAACTGTTGAAAGTCAATCTATATCTATAAAAGGCAGGATGTGTGTGTGTGTGTGTGTGTGTGTGTGTGTGTGTGTGTGTGTAAAGAATGCACGGCCGCAATTTTACATGCACATGCACCAAGTAAGCGGGAAGGTCAAGACCGACTTTGCATTTCCCAACTCCTATCGATAGTGGAAATAATCGATTTTTTCATGCTTCTACGGCACTTTTCATGTAGTTTGCGGCCATTTTGTGCTGAGCAGAGTGAGAGCCTATAGCTGGCTGCCACGAATAGGCAGGAAGATTCTATTGGCCAGCGTGAGAGCCAACAGCTGACTGACACGAATGTTAACTAGCATGCTAGCATGCAAAAAAAATAGATAGCTGCATTCGTCACAAGTGGGAAAAATTTAAATCTGCATGGCACTTTACTCTAATTGGCTCATTCGCTTGCTTAAACTCAACGTTGATTATTATTCCGCAGATCTGGGTTGGGTGTGAAAAAGTATTTGTTGTTAACATTCTTTTTTCATTCGGTTTTTCCAGTTACGAGTCCTTTTTTAAAGCTGATCGTTTTGTGTTCATTTTGTTTAGTTCTTTTTTTCGTAACAGATTTAATGTTTAGTATAGAGCTTAGAAAAAATTTGCAGTGTAAGATAGGCAAGAAGTAAGGCATGTAGCAACATCAGCACGGAAAAGGCACTCCTTTAAATGCAAGGAAGGGCAAAAATATTTTAAGTCAAGTGATAGTGATTGCTGTATGAGTCGTACGATTTTTGAATCAAGCACGGGCAACGCCGGGCCATGCTGCTAGTCTCTATATAATTCCTTTTACAAAAACGTGATGGCACCAACGCGAGCTGGAGCCCAAATTTGCATAGATAGAAATAGCAGGCATGTTGAAAATGAATAAAGAAAACGGTGCCTTTTATTTAAATAAATCCATTTGTTTTGCAAATGTAAAACATTAGTCTAATATATAAAAGTTAATACTAAGTGAATGCGGAGGTAGTGTGATTGTTAGCAACTCTGAATGAGGAATCGTGTTATATTCATTTTCGACCAAATACCTATGGGAAATAAATCACACTTCTTCTCCAGCTATGGGTTAAATAGCAGCGCAGGGTGGGCTCTTTTGAATCGGTTGGCAACTATTCTAAGTACAACTTTGAATTTCAACCAGTATGGAGTCTTCAATTAATTATGATGCAGGAATGTCGACACTGTGATGTCGACTACGGGCGATAAATGCGGTAAATGTTACAAAACATTGTGACAAATTTTTGACTTCATTAATGTTATGGTCCAAGTTTTTTTGTACCACGGTGATGGTCCAAGGTTGGAACCAATGAAAGAATAACACGAACACACGTATGGAATACAAAGATATATTACAACAGAAATATAATACAAAGAAGTAGAAATATTAGTAATGACTATCAGATTTGGTTAGAATGAACTATATTGTCTCGACAAGTATCACTATTCCAGTGTCCTTACAATATGCTCTCAATTCTCTCTCCTCGTCTTACAACATCCTCATACCTCTTGAGAGGCGCAGTATTTATAATGTCAGGAATAGTCCATTATTATTATGGGTAAGTTGCCATAACAATTAACCTTAGTTAATTTTTTGTGGCCCTTATTCAAAAGCGAACTTTGAAATACTTCGACATTAGATCTGAAATCGCTATAGAAAACAATTTTCTGTGCTGACTAAAACAAAGAAATTCAAAATTTCTCCAATTCTCCCAACCTTATTCTCATGTTAAAATGCTACTGCTCTTTTCTTGGCTATACGTACAGAGGCACATAGGTAAGGGGATTGCGAATTGGCGTAACGGTTACTGAAATGGAATCAGCAGACCAAGTTCAAATTTCGGTTGAGGATGCATTTGTTTATTTAGCACTAATCTTGTATGGAAAAGTATCTCTCCCCATCCCCATTGTCTGTTCCATTACCAGATATTTTGAAAATAATGTCGTGTCTCTGTTATGCCAAAATGATTGAGGGAAATAATTTGATGAGTGAGTACTTACCAAAGCCATTTCAGTAATAAATTTGTAAGTTGTTATATCTGTTGTCAACCTTGACAGCATAATGTTTGACAGAGAGATAGATGAATACGTTAAAGAGAATGAGCTAGATAGATAGATACTGACTTGGCATACATAGATAGATATTGAACTGGCATAGATAGATAAATAGATAGATACATACATACTGAATTGGCATATATATATATATATATATATATATATATATATATATATATATATATATATATATATATATATATATATATATATATAGAGAGAGAGAGAGAGAGAGAGAAATAAATAGATAGATAGTTATTGAATTGACATACTTATTGAATTGGCATAGATAGATAGATAGATAGATAGATATTGACTTGGCATAGTGTTATGGGATCTTACCCATAATAATAATAATGGACTATTCCATACTTAATAAATACTGCGCCTCTGCAGTAGTTCAAGGGAGTCAGTCGTTCACTTCTGAACCGACTGTTCGGTTGAACTCTCTGCCTTCGGGCTGGGAGGAACCCGAACGAGGCTAGGCCGAGGGGCGTAGTCTCTTTCGGGGAGGTAAATCGGCCCTGAGCCCGTTTATACGGGTTCAATGAGAATATTTTTGGGTCGATCCCACGGGCTCGGAGAACCCACAATAAATAACCGACCTTGTGTCACAAGCTACCCCAATGGGGGGTGGGTGACTGAATATAGAATATAGAGTAAGTGGTTCGAGTCAATCAGTAGTTCAAGTTGAGTCAAGAGTCGAGTCAGAGGCAGTCCGAAACAGAGTCGCGTTCAGACAATTACTGCAAGACATTGCAGTGATACTGGTCCAGACTACATTGTTCTCTCTACTAAACCTGATTGTTCATACTAACACTTCTACTTCTCTGTATATATTCCTGTTTGTAATAAATCTGTGTTATTCCATACCTATGTTCGAGTTCTTCTTTATTGGTTCTACCTTGGACTATCACCGTGGTACAAGGAACCGGACCATAAGACATAGATAGATAGATAGATAGATAGATAGTGAATTGGCATAGATAGAGAGGGAGAAATCGATAGACAGATAGTTATTGAATTATCATAAATAGATAGATATTGATTTGGCTTTGTTGAAAAACAAATTGAGGATTTAAATTCTCCAAAGAGTTCTGCTTATAACTAATATGAACATTAAGCCGTACAAAAAAGAATTTCTCGAAATTTCATAAAATTAAATAAATGCGGGGGTAAAGATGTAAATAAAATGTTTTACTAAGATTTTCTAAAAAAAAAAAAAGAAACATTTCTCAAATAATTTCATTGATTGGTGAATAAGTCCTAAACGTTTCATTAAAATGCGACAATTATTTGATTTTTTGCAAGAATTTCCAATTCATGTGTATTTTTTTCGCCGCAAAAAGACGTTAAAATTTTCTATACTAATTTATTGTCTCCCGTTGATGCAATAAAAAATTCTAGAGTTTCTAAAAAGGATTTTAAAAAAAGATTCTAAAAATGATCATAAAATACTCTGGCCTTTCCTCATAATAATAGCATAACGATTTTGACGATAAAACTGTTTTTATTAAATTTGGAACGTTTTTTCATCATTTATGCTCATTTTTACCGAATCTTTGGAGGTACCGATATACATATTTTTTCGTTTATTCTTATGCTTTTCTTTTTTTATTATAATATATTATATATTATATTATATATATATATATATATATATATATATATATATATATATATATATAAATGATTGGAAAGCTTACTTCGATCAGGGTGCAAAGGTTTTTGGAACATTCACCGAGCAAAGCATTAGAGAAAATTGGAATTGTGGGAGCCGCAAAAGAGAAAGTACTGAAAGAAAGTTCGGATATAGCTGAAGAAGGATCTCGATGGATTTGGCTGAAAAGGAATGATCGGTGGATTAAAGAATGAATATGTCCGTTCATTGAATGAGACTTTTGTTTTCGTTTTTTGTTTGTCCTCAAGTAAATGTAAAAGAAAAACACTTACCATAACATTGGCGCATGTGCAGAAGAGGCAAAACTAGAAAGCGCGCGCATGTCGCGCTTTTGTTCTTATACATCCAGACAGCAGGCAAGCAAATGATGATTGGCTAATGCAAGTCTCGTTGCCATTATAAAAGAAAGATCTACCTCCTGATTATTAATACATTTTCTGTTATTAAAATCGCATCGTGGAGCGAATTATACAGAGAGGTGGCCTCTTAACAGGTCGGGTTACTCAGCAGAAAGGAATCTGATGCTGCAATACCCGAATACAAATATCCATATACATACAAAAACAAACACATGTATGCACATATACATACAATTATATGTAATATATATATATATATATATATATATATATATATATATATATATTTTTATATATATATATATATATATATATATATATATATATATATATTTTTATATATATTTTTTATATATTATATATGCGCGGTATTATTGGAAAGTGCTCAATATCAGTGACAGAGCTAACATATTTAGTTGGATTCATGTGAGTTTGTGACCCTGGGCTTCACGCTTTTTGCAAACTCACATTAATCCAACTAAATACATACAAGTATATAAGCCTAAACATATGAGAATGCACACATAAACATACCTATAAATTTGCATACACATATACAAATATACAAAGACACAAACAACTACATAAATACAAATGCATATCCATACATACATATACATAAGATTAATAGTAAATTTTATATACATATATATATATATATATATATATATATATATATATATATATATATATATAAAAAAAAATTAATATTATGGATAAAGAAAGTAAAATTAATCTATAATTTAAGGTTATAGATGGTATCGGGAATGCATATAGGCATACGTCCTAGTATCATACAAAACATCTAATACTTTAAGTATAAAATTCTACAGAATAAATGAGTCAATAGGAAAAAATTCTCTTAGTCGAGGCATTTCGTCCTCTGGCTGAAAAGCTTATCAAGGCAAATGTTGGATTTATTATGTTGCCGTTTTAAATTTTAAATTTGAGAACTTTCATGAATAAGATATCCGTGAACGTTCTCAAATTTAAAAGCTTGGATAAACCAATGACACCCCGCCTTTGTATATAAATACGTACCAAAAAAATAAAGTCTCTCAGAGGACGAAACGCGTCAGCTAAAAATAGTTTTTCCTCTTGTCTTTTTATTCACACACACACACATCCATAATCAAATTTATCTCTGAGAATTTAATTTTGATAACGAGCTTGAATCGAATGTAATACAGATTTTTACTCTTACTTTTTTATGAGCATCACCTTTACGATCCTAAACGTGTGTGTACAGGCTGTGTTAGTGTTTGTCGATGTGTGTATAAGGATACAAATATTTTGGTAATTGGATATCAGAGCAAGCGAAAATTCTTCGGTTGATTTGTAAAGTATTGCACATTGATGACAGTGCTTAACTATCTGGAAAATTCCTGACTCGCTACTTCCTGGAATGCCTTTGAGGCCAGTTGGGTGTTACCTTCCAACTTCCGGTTGTCTGACTGATATCTACGCATGCGCTCTATTCGCCCATCGGCGACACAGCTGAATTTCCTCATAGAATTTATCGATCTTAATGCGGCATAAGGAAAATGATATGCAAAGGAAACAGCGACGACTTGACGGAAAAATCATCTGTCCAGAAACATCAAAGATACGTATGAGAAATTCAGTTAAAGTTTTATTTGGGATCGATAAATTACGAAAGGTCAGATTTTAAAGTATGAAATAAAGAGCAAATCAATAGAGATTTTATTGATGTATGAACACAAGTTGTTTTTTTTTCTCATTTGATCACGAAATAAAGGTTCTGCTTGCAATATTGCAAAACAGAGCGCCGTTAATTAGGAGAACAGGGACTAAACAATTGTTTTAGCGTCAATCTCGATCTACTGTTCTTTCGATTACTCTTTTCTCTTCCCGCTCATTATTAATGTTTCTGTTTCTAATTCTTCCGCACCCAGTAACCCCTTGTGCCTTAATATATTTTCTGTCTGACTTAGGGTGAAACCGATTTTTAAAAAAAGACAAGAACAAAGAAACACCCTCCTCTGTGGAGGGAAATTAGAGTAACAAACAGCAAGAACGAAAATAATAATAAAGCGAAGGAACGGTAGTCAAAGGAAGTCGACAAATATTAGAAAAAAGCTTAACATATTACTGCATGCCACTGAATGAGTCAGCGAAAGAAGATATAACATCGGGAATTTTCCCCAGACATAAAAAATTACGGGAGGATTATTATTATTATTATTATTATTATTATTATTATTATTATTATTATTATTCTCGTACCCCTTCATAAGGTGAGCGATCACGGCTCGCCACAATTCCGTCCTTTGCAGCACTTTAATTTTTGCTTAATCCCTATTCCGCCAAGCATTTACAGAGTCTCGTTAGGTATGCTATCCACTACTTTCCTCAGTCCCTCTTGCCTTCTATATCTCCTGTGAGTGTCTAATTTTGTAAGCCTTCTATTGTAAGTATAAGTATTCCTCTTTCTTTTTTTTTTTTTTCATTTTCCCTAAAACTTCATTGTTGCTCAGTCTATGGTATTCACGGCATCCTTCTGTAAAACAACATTTGTTTCCACAAGTCTCTTCATCAGTGAGGAGATTGTCCAGCATTACTGCCATATAGGAGGACAGATATTACATAAAAATTAAGTACTCTTTTCTTTGTTCCTAACAATATTTTCCTGTTTCTTAATACTTCGCTTAGGTTTTGAAAGGCATCTTTCTCTATTCTAATGAACCTTTGTATTTCAGTGCCTCAAGTCTCTGCATCATTACAAGCGACAAAACACTTTTCTGAATATATTCACTAAACCGGGCAAATTAAACATCATTATTGGTTAACATTTCGGGAATTCTAAGGTCTGGATTTAAGGAAGAATAATAAACATGATATCCATTTTAACACGTTTAATTTAATATATAAAGCTTACAGTTTGTTCATTGTTGTTGTTGTTGTTGTGGTTGTGTTTGTGTTCGTGCGTCTGTGTGTTTGTTTGTTTCTGTTTGTGTGTCCGCACGAGCTACTGAAAATTAACAAATAAATTTTTTGTCTGTCATTTTCTGGTGTGTGTTTCAGGACGTGGGAGATCATGGATCTCTACAACTTCCTATCATGTGTAGCTCTTACTAACGTTTGTCTTTCTATTATCTCACCCAATTCCTCTTCTGTTATTAATTTACAAAACCTCGTTAGGTAGGTGACACGCTTTCCCCTATCCTTCCTGAAGTCAGTATGTTCCATGAATGTCAAATTCTTTCTCCAGGCCCTTCATCCTCATTATGTGTCCTAGAAATATCAACTCTCTCTTTTTTATTACTTGTGTCTGTTTAGTTTTCATTTTCTTTAAAAAAACCTCCTCGTTAAACACATTTTCAGACTATTAATTCTCAGTATCCTTCTGTAGAACCATAGTTTTGTTGTCTCAAGTCTCGTCTTCATCTCTAAGGAGATTGTTCAGCATTCAATGCCATAGCGGAGGACTGACATTATGTAACAGTGCAGTACCCTTTTCTTTGTTTCTAACGAAATTTTCCTGTTTCTTAATACATTACTTAACTTCGGGAACCAACTACATATTCTATGTTATATTCTATATATGATTTTGAGGCGCAAAGAAAATGATTATAAAAAGAATATTATATTGATATTTTCGTAACGTGAATACAGGGTGAAGCTGGGAACAACAACACTTAAGAGGTCGTTCCACGTTCCTTAAAAACTCCCGGTCAGAGACCTTGATGCTGGCCGTAGTTTATCGACACTACTTCATCTGTGAGGAGATTGCCCAGGGCAGTTAAGAATGTAATACGTTTTAGCAACTTTTGCTAAAGGAAGTGATTCTTTTAATAGTAACCCAAATATGTGTATTCATCGTTACAAAAATATAAGTCGAGAATTAATATAAATTCTTTCTATAACCATTTCCTTTACACCGCAAAAATCATATATAGAATCCAACATAGAATATGTAATTAGTTCCAAGTTAAACTCAATACAAGACTCAAGAGCCACTTAAGGTAGAGGATTGTTAAATGACGTTGTTATATGGACTTGGTAGGAGAAAGAAAGTGAAGATTATTAGGATATGTAGGATAGATAACGGTTGACCTTAGATTTGAAGAGGTTAAGACTCAAGTGTTTGAGGAAACATCTTCTCGGTTATCTGTTCCATAAAGTAGCGACTCTTTGAGAGAAGCTGTTAAAACGGGACTTCTTTCTTACCAATAGAATACAGAGTGATTCAGAATAATTCGCAGCTGTGAATATAGTAGCGTGGGACTTAACTGTAAAGTCTGAACTGGACGTATTAAATACAAGTCATGCAGAGGAAACGAAGTAATTTATTTGACTTATCCGAGTAAATGGATAGTAGAACAAGAACAACAGAAATAATGATGGATTATAAAGGGCCCAAAGTTAGAACATTAAACTACAAGAATTTGCAGCGAGCCATCCTTGCCTATCCCCTGAAAGAACATATGTTGCGTTCTGTGTCGTCTCTGGGTCACCACGCTACGACATAAAATATCAAGGAAAACGGCCATTTCTTTTACTTATTTATTAGGAGAGAATGGTGGCAGCTTGGATTCTAAGAGACAGCTGAAGGAATGATGTCACAGGAACGCATGTCGCACATTGGCTCAGCGTCCATCCGCGAGTGGTCTTAGCCTGTCACTAACATGAGTGTGGGAGGTATATCGACGCTTTAGAATTCTTGCGGCCCTCTGTTGAAATCGCGCTATTTTGGAGTTATATCCAAAACCCAAACAAAGGCACTCAATCAGAATACTACACCCACGAGGCACTTCGGCCAATCACTGACCACTCTGTAAAAAAAAAAAAGTAAATGTTATTTAATCACTAACAAAATTATTCTAGG